GGAGGCTCCTGGGCGAGGTGTAACTGGAGCCTCGTCCCTCTCCGCCCCTCTCTCCTCCGCCTCCCCTCGGGCCTGAATATCCCCCCCCGCCCTCCCCGCAGCATGGGGATCCCGTGCCTCTCCTTCCGGAGAGGGCATTCGTGCTGGGGAGTTGTCTGCGAGAAACCTGCCTGAGAGCCTGGCAAAAAGAGTCCTTTTTTCTTTTCTTTCTTTCTTTCTTTCTTTTTTTTTTTTTTTCGTTTGGAGAGAGAGAGAGGGGGGAAAAAATAAAAAGGCAGCGAGGTTGCTAGTAATCACCAGGAAATAATGATATCTCAATCTGAGTTTGTGTTAACCTGTATGCCTCTGTCTGAAGTGTATGTCTACAGGAGCTCGCTGTCTAAATTAGCTGGCAAACAGTCGTCTTGTAAAAGGAGAACAGCTTGCTGTTCGGTAATAAATAATCAATTGTTTTTGTATTTTTGTTTATTCTTTCAGAGTAGCTGGAAGCAGGTGAATAGGCTTTATAACTGAAGTAATATTTTTACAGTGTTTAAGAATAGTTCAAGCTAAGCAAATAGTGTGTGACTGTGACAGTTACAGTGAAGCACTATTGCTGCTGTAAATAAGCAGTTTAAGACTGTCAGTCTTTTTACTTAAGGCTTTTTTTTCTGTTTTTCTTTTTTCTTTTTTTTTTTTTTTGTTCTTAGTTTGCTGCCATTGTGGCTGAAGGCAGTCATTTGTTTTTATCCCTTTGGGTTTTTATGTTCTGAACTATAAGATCAACTCTAGCCAGTTAATTTCCTGGCTCTTTACAACCTGATAGCGGAGTTGGGCCACCTGGTGGGCTCCTCTCGTGGGGGAATCCTTTGGGAGGCTGCCGAGCAGAGCGAGCTGCCGGCCCCTGCGTCGGACGCTCGGAAATGGCTGTGTTGCACGCTGTCATTAATGGTCATATCGACGCTGGTGTTCCCCAAAGCTAGGCTGTCGTTTGCCTACGCACGTCTTACGACCAGCGCGAATGGAAACTGGTCGTTCTGTCGCAGCTGATGTAGTTGTACCTCCTGCATAGTTTTGAGGTCATTTGCTCATTTACCTCGGTGGTGGTGGTGTCACAAATAGGGTGTATCAAGTTTGTGCATGTTGGTATGTACATACGTACGCAAGCGTATAAGGATGCTCTTGCAGTTGTGTCCCTTATTTTAGCATTTGGAGTACAGCTGCTTGGGGACAGGGACAGAGAAGTCAGCTACACCGTATTGTATTATAATGAGATAGAGAGATGTAAGGCCCTCCCCCCCCCATGGAGGGGTGCTGTGATAAGCTTGATGTTTGTAGCCAATCCCAGTGATTTAGAGTCTCAAACAGAATACTTCATCGTGGAATCAACCCAGGTTTATTTTTCTGACTATTTCAACAAAGATATGCAGAGCAACTTTAAAAAGAAAGGCTGATTTGCTTATTCAAACATTTGTAGTTAAAAATACATTTTTAAAGTATCTATCTTGGTATCTTGGTTTGGTGAGCATTATGCAATAAATGCCTGACAAAGGTGGTGTAATCAACTCAGTTTTTTTTTTAGACAGTATGTACTTTTATTTAAAATAAACCGAAGATTTCTCAATTTCATTTTTTTTTTTGAAGCTCATACCCTTCATAAGGAAAAGGACCCATGTATCACATGCTTCTCAAGTATCTCTGCAGTGTCTGGGGACACTCTTTAACAAAATAACGTGGAACATAGGGAAATGTACATACTTTTGTGTTGTGGTGTTGTCAGTGCTGTGTTTGAACCTCAGACATTTGAGGAAGGAACACTTTATAAAGGATAAAATGGTTCAATTCAAGTTCTTAAACAGGGACCTATATTATCTGAGAAAGTGGTCAAAGATTATTCCCTATGGAAAAAGTGTGTGTGTGGGGGGAAATAGGAGTTTGTTCCTGTATAGTGTAGTGTATTACATTAAGCTCCAGCCATGAAGTCAAAATTAATTATTTAAGAATAATGTTTATGTTTTAAAATCCTTGAGGATGTAGCTTGCTCATTAGAAGGCCGAAAGGCTCTGCTGAGAGAGAGAGGCATGTGAGTGGTGTTGACGTTTGCAACTTTTCCCTCTCAAGTTAAACAAAAAAAAAAAATGGGGGGGGGGAAGAGAGTAGGATGTAGTCCATCTGCAAAGAGCACAGGGTTTTCTGCAGGCAGAACAAAGTCCTGGAGGAGGCAGCTGCTGCTGCAATGCCCACGGGCTCCCGGGCTTCCCCTTTGTTGGTGCTGTCACCTGGCCGCTGGCAGGACCTGGGGCTGCAACAAGCCCCCTTGCTGCAGAACCTCACCTCGCACTTCCCACAATGAGAGCCTTGTGGGAGCTAACCAGGGGGGATGCCATCCGTTCATAAAAATAAAGAGATAGATAAAAAGCTGGAACTAAAAACTCTTATAGGCATAACCCTCTTTGTCTGCTGAGTACTGATAGAGGATGCGTTGAGTAAAGAAAATATTCAACTAAAACTGTCTTTGCAGCATTCGTTCTTTGTATGCTTAGTGTGATTGGGCCTCTCTGAACAATGCAGTTTGTATTGAAGTAGGTATAAAGTATTTAACAAATTCCATGCATTTCTTTGGTATTCTCGTCTACATTAAAATGTTCAGTATTCATGTATTTCTAGGTTTGGTTTTTGAGGGCAAAGGTTAAATGTATTGTTACAGTGTGTACAGTCCTGTGTGTAACATTTTTATCAATGTTATTCTGTTCTTAGTTTTTTACTTTCTAGAAAGTATAGTATCCCTTCAGCCCCCCATTGTCCACTATTAGTTACTTCCGTTACAGACAGCTACCCTGACAGCATCCCTTATTTTCACTTTTAAATAAGGTGTGAAGTTCAATGCGTTGCTTTATTTTTGCTAGCTGTTAAAACATTCTCATGCTCCTGGTGGCAGATAATGACAAATCTTTCAGTGTAATGCTGGGAGCAAGGGAGGCGGAGAGGGAGAGGCAAGGAGGGAGGGGGGAAAACCCTCCTGAGCATATGGAGACATCCAGAACAAGATGTGCATCGTCAGCTGTGATTCCATTGTCTGCTTGCAGATAGGATCTGAGCTTTTCTTCTCTTGGGAATTTAAACCTTACAGAAGTATTCTTTGACTTTTTTTTTTTTTTGTGTGTGTGTGTCAGGATAATCAAGCTTAGAAAACAAATATTTCACAGATTTATTATAGACTATTTTGATAATATTTTAACGTTTTGGTGAATAAATACAGTTGCCAGGACTCCTGCTCTGTATTGGAATAACACATTGAACAGACATGCATATTGCTGAAATGGTAACTTTGATGAATAATAAGAATAATTTGTAATATTACAGCAGCGGTTACATTTTATTAAAGCATCTTACAAGTTCTGTGGTTAATACTTTGTCAGCAGTATTTACATTATGCAAACACTCCCTATTCTTAATGATTCAGTAGCGTAACCATTTCAAAACATACCAAGTAGATATGTGACGTGTTAAATGACTGTTTGGGTAGTTTAATCAATTAAGGATACAGAATTTAAAAAAAAAAATCAGTGTTTTAAAAGGTATTTTGTCAATGTTGTCAGTATTCAGAAATAGTATTTACATGATGAAAAAATGGAGTGGAAGAAATTAATTTTCTTTTATTCAATCCTGTATTTACTTATTATCTAGAGCAGTGTTTCATCTCATGAGCAATTGCATTTGAAATATTTCTACTGGTTTTATAAAATTATTTTGAGTTGATGAATAGTTTGAAAAATATATACTGAACACGGTGGCTTTACTGCCTTAAGTTTTGTTAATGTTTATGATTTTTCAGTCTTGCTCTATGGCAATTGCACGCTGTTCGAGTTAAGACTAATAAAAGGAGTTTTATGGAAATAATATAAGCAAAATTTTTACGGAAAATGCATAGTTGCTAATGTGTGACTTTTGATGTTGGCTTTTTGAAATTTGGAATTTGTTCATTAATTTACATGTCTAAAGCTATACAACAACATACTAACATCACACACTTTTTTCTTAAGCAGCTGCATCGTTATACTATTGCGAGTCTTGCGTTTCCTTAAATGGCTTCCATAACAATCTTCCATTAATACACTTACTGGCAGATATTATTCTTGCTTTGCTTTCATTTCAGCAGTTATAACTGATAGTAAATCTCTATTTCTGTGAGTGTGCTCCAATTACTTATATTTTCAAAAGCCTTTTTGTAATGTGCATTTTCTTTTTCCAAGTAAAAAGCCTTCTGTACAGCCCGATTACGTTTTTCTGTGCATTTTTGAACTTCACAAGTTACTTCCTGTTTGGAAAGGGTAATTTCTATTCTGCTAAAGTAGCCCACGTTATATTGAAGCCATTACTATATTAACAAAAGGCTAGGGAGTACAGGTGACAAATTAAATAAAGATACCTAGTGAATGTGTTGATTTGTCCATAAATCTTAGGTAGTACAGATCACGTGAGCTTCTATGAGGGGATCCCAGGATATGGTGAGGACATACATCTCATGCAGTGATGACTTGAGAGTTGCTATTTTGATGCTTTTTTAGTGAGCTATGTAAGACATATTGTTACTCTTTGGCAGGATTTATAGTGGGCATATCACAATTGGCTGCTTTATTGGCTGCCTCAGTGGAAAAGTCTGGGATTGAAGAATGGGCATGGAAAGTGAAATTACATTTTACTGGTTGGGTCAGAATTATTATGGAATCTTATTCTGTCTGTGCTGTAATTCATCTGTGCATGAACGGGCTTAGTTTTTCATCACTGTCAGTATTGATCTGTAATGAGTCTTAAAACATAGATTTTGAAGAACATCGCTGCAATTAGAAACAAGGTAGTGTGGCACTTACTTGCAACTTGCTGATTATGCAGGAGGTACTTAATTGCGTTAAAAAAGAAAAGTTTGCGAGGAGGGAAGAAATTCTGCCTATGAATAAATATGATAGTATATACTGACGCTTTTATTACAGGTATTTTTATGAACTTATAAATTCATCATAGGCCTGCATGGCAGAATCAAATAAAAAAAAATTCAAGGTCATATGTTTTTAGTACTTATGCAAGTGGGAGAGTTCAAATATCATCCAGTTGATGATGGAGATTACTTTTGAAACAGCAAAAGGATAGGACCTGAAGAGCTACTTAGTGAACTGAAAACGTGGTGGAGGAATTGTGAAGAAAAGTAATGTCAGGTTTTGCTGACCAACCACTTAGTTATTCCCATAAATAAAAATGCTTATTGTCCACTAATTTTACTTACTGCTATTACACAAATTTGTATATTGGCCTCCAGAGATACAAGCAATGTCCTCCTCCTTTCTTATCCGTTTTCTAAAATAATTGATCCTTTGAGGAGGAAGATTATGAGCTTATACAGATAAATACATTATTTATTTTAGCTGATTTCTTGTTGAGACTACAACTGAAAAGCTCTTCCTCAGCTCTGAATGTTTCTGTTATTTATAAAAACCAAAATTTAGAACCAGATCTGAGCTATTTTGTTTCAACTGGGCTAGAATATTTGCTGTTTTTTTTTTTTTAAGGTAAATCAACTTGTTGATTATTTACTGCCTATAAAATGTTGTGTTGCTCTAATAACGTAGCGTAAAGCTTTTTTTTTAAATTTGCTTGCCAATTTCTGTTGGCATGTGCAGTGTAAACGTGCTTTTACTTATTTTGCTTTTTTTAAAAAATATGGATTACTTCAGTACAAAGATACTGAATTTCTAATGAGTCTTCAGAATATTTTCTTGCTTGAAATTAGTATAACAACTGTGTAATAGTGAGATCATTTTTGGGACTGTTTGTTCTTAGTACAAGTCAGATGGTAAGGGAATCTGAAGACTATATGTATGTGATCAAAAATATATTAAATTAAACCTGCACACTCTAGCTGACAGTCTCTTCTAGGTTCATCTGAAAGTGGTAGTCTTTCACTCCCTTTTTAGCTAAGCAGTAGTTCGTAAAAGTTGGTATTGTTTTGTTCGCATCGTCTAGCCTTTGCAAGGCGAGGAGGTAAAGCACCTTCAGCCTTGCTGCAGGTAACTAGAATACAGATGTCGCTTTGCATTGTCAGGGAAAGAAATTGCCATATAGAGTGAAAGGAAAATAAAGATGTGGAATGGTTTGAAGTCAGAGAATTAGGCGTTACAGTGAGCCTTCTCAGTTCAGCTGTATTTTGTCATATTTACCTTTAAAAAGTTATTTTTTTCCCCCTTAAACTCCTGTGGAGGATGCAAGAGAGAGTGGTGGTGGTGTGGAGAATAAGTGTGATATATCCATTTTTAGATGAAATTTAATGTTGATAACTTGTGTACTTTTCAAGGCAGAGTCTCTTTTCTTTAGACGTTTGTATAAGGCCTACTACACGCCTTTGAGCACCACCATTAGAAACGTTACATTATTGTGGTGGCTTGCTACACAGAGGAGTGATTTCTGCTGAGTTTCCGGGGGCACCCCAAGAACCTTCTGACCCTGGCAGCTATGGCTGCACTTGCGCAGAGAGGTGCAGAGACCGTGTGGGAATACGTGCTAGCATCGCCTTTTGCTGCGGTGTTTTTATCTTTACACCTCAGAAAGGACTTGAGAAACAACAGCAAGGACTTAGCGTGCTCTGGAGACTAATAATTTTGGTGTCCAGTGTTCATCACTTTTCCTCTCTGAGAGTCTAGTTACTTTAAAGAATAAACCTGGAATATACCAGATTATATGAATATACCAGATCATACGTCTGTTATGGTATGTGAATTCGTCCTCTGTTGGTGTATAATTCTAGCCTTGTGTTTAAGAAGAAGAATCTCGTTGGTAGTATTTTGAAGATAATGTTTCTATAGTAGAGAGCAGCCATCGCAGTTGTCAAGAGACAAGAAGGGATTAGATTAGCGCCCGCTCTCGTTCGCGGTGGTGCAGCCAGCTAAAAGACAGCACGGAGGGGCAGGAGGCGCTGCTTTTCAAAGCCAGGAGTGGAAAGTGGGAGAAGTGGAAAGCGAGAAACCCTTTTTGCCTATGTAGAAACTGTCGTGATTTTGGCGCGTCTGTGGAAAAGGAGCCA